CTAAGATTTAGAAGCATGATAAGCATATTCATTATAAAGAGCAGGAAAGTTTGAATGTAATCAGATGTTCTTAGAGACAAGATATGTAGATGGGCAGCCAACAAAGATACTGCCACGTTTATACAACCAGACAAAAATACAGATGGATGATCATGAGCCTGTGGAAACGTTTCTAGTAAAATGATCATACCTTGCCCATACCAGCTTCTGAAATGAGCCATTTCCTCAGGCCCAGAATCCCATTAATGTAGGAGAAGCCAGGCACTTGTGAGGAGGAATCCTTAAATACCTGTAAATGTATAGTAATGATTCCCACAGTGCATTCCGAAAGAAAAAGCTATGACCATTTATTCACGCAAACAAACAATGTGGAAAGAGAAAAGCTAATCAATTCAGAAGAAATATTGAAGGACAGTGAACAAAAAAAAGAGATAGTTGGAAAAGAAAACAAAATCATAGAAATAAATTTTAAAATATCAGTGATTACGGAAACTGCACAATGGATGTTATCAATAAAAGTCAAATTTTGTCACATTTAATTAAAAAACTAAATCCATGTATATGCTATTTATGAAAGTCACATCTAAAACATAAGCACACTGAAAATTTAAAAGTAAAGAACCGATGAACCGATAAAAAGATACACCAGGTATAAACTAATAAAAATGAAGCTGATGCAGCTATACTATTAGGCTGGTGCAAAACTAATTGCAGTTTTTGCCATTAATTTTAATTTTAATGGCGAAAACCACAATTACTTTTGCATCAACCTAATAACATTAGGCAAATGAGCATCAAGGTAAAAAGCATTGGTATGGATATAAAGGGAAACTTCATAACAATGAAGTTTTCAATGTGTCAGGTTAAATATTACAAACTTGAATATGTATACCAGATAAAATATACACAAAATGCATAAGGACAAAACTTAACAGAACTCACTATAAGGAGAAATAGTTGAACTCAATGTCAAAGTGAAAAATGTTAAAATATCTCTTTTCATAACTTGTATATTCTATAGAAAAAAAATAGAAAAAGATAAAAACAAAACATAGTAAGTTTGAAATAGTGGACATATATAGAACCCTGTGCCCAACAGTTAGGCAAAACTCTGTTTTTAACCAATCAAATTACAAAACTTGGTAACAATCTGGCAAAGAAGATACTTTCAACATACTTTAAAAGATTCACAATATATATTTGCAAGGTAGAGCTGAAAACTACAAAAACAAATAAACAAAAATATATTTGGAAACCAATAAGCATATTTCAATAAAACTCATGTGTCAAAGGAAAACTTAATAACCACTAGGCTACATATCTAACTTCATCAAGAAAGGAGATGCTACAGTTAAGCTCATTAAAAACAAAGGAAGCATAAAACTAGAGATGAAATGGAAATTGAAAAGATTATAAAATTATGTAAAGAAAAATATTCAAAAAATTGAAGTGATTTTTAGCAAATTGCTCAAAAATAAATAGAAATCCTGAGTAGTTCTATGGCCAGTATATTTATTGACTGTGTAGTAAATCTGTTCACAAAGAAAGAAACCCCTAGAACTGAACCCTGCTAAATGTAAAAGGAACATAAAACTGCCATTTTTTTCACAAACGTTTCCAGGCTCTACTGTTTTCTACCCTTGTCTGGGTAAATTACTTACCTGTCAGTATTCTCAACTATAAAGTAGGATTAATAATACTACTCACCTCATTAAGTGATTATGAGGATTAAATAACTTAGTGCTTGTAATGTGCTTTCAAGAGAGTATGGCATATATTAAACACTTTGTAAGTGTTTCCCATTGTTATTATCATAGAAAAATCTTAATACCAGTAAATGAAAACAATAGTATGGTAACAAAAATCATAAGGTAATTTCATCCATGAACATAGAGGCAAAAATTGTAAACAAAGTATAGTGTAAATCTGTCATAACACCATTAGTGAAGTCTGAAAATTCAACTTAAAAATATTATGGCTTGCAGTATCACAGTGAAAATACCAGGGCAAGCCTGTTGGAGTTCCTGCAATCTGACTCTTCAAACCAGGTCTGTCCAGCTCTTTCCTATAATTTAATGCCATCTGGTGAGAGTTGTCCACTCTGGGCTAAATATCAATGAAAATGCATAGCATAAATTAGATTTTCTTAAGACAGGGTTTTCGTTGTTGATGCTCGTTAAACTTACTAATGCTGCTTTTTATAATTCTTATGCACTAACTTGAACCCTAACTATGATATGCATTAACTTGAACCCTAAGTATGAAAAATATAACTATCTTTTTTTTCTCATATAATAAAAGTTAAATGTTCTTATTTCTTTCAATAACTTAACTTGAAAATATATCAAATTTTGGTGAATTTCAGCTAACCCTTAAATTGACTCTTGTCTAGAGAAAGTTGGTTATATTTATAGAAAAAAAATATGGATCAATATGAAATGTCACTCTAGCACAAAATAACTGAAATCCTCTGTAAATAAAGGCAAAAACATCTTTTGTCTTTTATCTTTTCTTATCAGTGGTAAATGAAATTGGCAGAGCAATATCAGAAAACCTTTGAGGTATATATATTTTAAATTCTAATTAAATTTTACCAGATAGGCTGCAATTCAATAATAATAAATACATCACACTAATCCTGTCTTTTTTTAAACACTGGGCTGTTATCCACTTCCATTTTATTTTAGCAACATGGAGTTCTATATTTATTCCTGATCATTAAAAAGTTTTAATCACATCTATAAAAAGTATTATAATATTTAATGTGCTTTTTGAAAGAACAATACGCATCAGACATCAAAGCACTCTATTTTAAAAACAGAAATTTTCTATTAACTGGCAATAAATTGAACCAGCAGAACATTAAATCTGTTCATAGATATATTTGGTTTTAAGCATGGCAAAATATGCTTTCAATTTCATTTCAATTTCAGCTGGTATGTTTGTCAGTGCTAGTATCTTCAATGCAATGACCAGTGTCATTATAACTTTATCTGTAATTTATTACAGAAGATTTCATTTCTTCAGACTGTTGTATGGCAATAGGTCCAGTAGGAATGATTTTAGTGACTCTAAAAGTAAATAAATGTCCCACTCAGTCTGTTACATTGGCTTATTTAAAATTAAAAATGAGTTATTTGTCTTAAAATACCTCTGATAATTTAGAAAGTATTATACTAATAAATGTTTCATGTGTCTACATCATAGTTTCTGCAATCAGTTTTAATAACATGCAGACAAAAAACTTTGGTTTCCTAAATATATCCTATGTTTGCTAAATAATTATTTCTTAATATTTCGTAGTGATTGGGTGCCAGTGATATAGGTGCAATTCTAAGAAAAGCATAGAATTACACTCAGTATCTAAGAAAGGATTTTTTAAATTAAAAATTTAAATAAAACAGGCTTTAAATATGTAAAAATTTATGGAGAATTCAGAATTTACAGGGATATCTTCTTGTAGCTGAGATTTTAAATGGAGTAAAAAATATGCATTTTAAATTTGGAAACTATATATTTTTTCCAACAAAAAACTAGGAGAATAAGAATGATAAAAAAGTAAAATAGTTATAAGAAAAGCATAAAATTAGAAGATAAGATTTATTTTTTGCTATGACAGATTTTATTAAATGCACACTTGGTTTTATGGGAAGACAATGCCTAATTAACTTTTAAAAGGATTATAAGGTAATGTCTCTTTTTCTTCCAAGTCTTTGTCACTGTGTTTCAATTCAATTTTATTTTTTAAAGTATTAAATAAAAATTAGTAAACTTTTATGCCCCGTAACTATATTATTTTCTCCATTACATAGCTCACTTGAAAACACATACTAACCAATACTAAAATATTCAGTCTCCACTTAACATCCATTGTTGTTCAATTGTTATTGGTATTTAGAAAACAGACTATATTTCTATGCTATCTGAGCTAATGATGGTCATTTTGACTTTTGAGAATAGATTCAATGTTGGTAAAATTTGACAAGTAAACACAGGACCTGAACTAAAATAGGAAAGAACACAATAAATCACAATGTTTTATAAATTAGAAAATTCAGGAATGAATAGTAGTCATATGAGCGGACTAGATGAAGCCAAGGATGGGGGTTAGGGAAAGGGTTGAAGCACAGTCTGATGTTGAGGAGCAAAGAACATTTCAGGAAGATAATTACTAGATGGTTCTGAAGGCAGGGCCCAGTTCTAACAGAACAAAGAGGCTGATAGGCAGAAAGTCTGTATAAAAAGTCGCCAGAACTCTCAATCAGCTATCCTGTCCTACACAGCCATGTGAATACTCCTCTCCCTTTATACCTTCACATAATTGTGGATAAGCTCCTGCCTTTCAGAAAACCTGTTGTTTATTCTCTGGTAAGTTTGAACTAGAGGTAATTTAAACCTGAGATAATGGGCTCAATGAAGACTGGGGACCTCTACTACAACTAGCAGGACTCAGTGAAAGTTTGCCATTGGACAGTTAGCCCCCAGGCTCTCCTCTCTATGTGGCCCCCACTGCCACACTAGCACATGGAAAGATTCCTTTCTGGGAAAATTGACCAAAGAGAAAATATCTTCAAACAATGACATATAGTCATTCTAAAAGAAAGAGATGAGTGTCTTCCCAATTATTCATTTTACATTAAAGCTTACCACTCAATAAGTTCCATTCTGAAATCTCTCTCTCTCTCTCTCTCTCTCACGCACACACACACACACACACACACACACGAGTTATCAGTAAGTTTTTTGGTGCTCTATTCACAAATATGGACTGATAGCTGCTAAGACAGAAGCTTAAACAGAGATCAATGTTTCAAGAAAATAAAGGAATTTAGAGAAAATTAAAACAGTGAAGGGTAAGAATAAAATTTGAGCACAACTAAAATTGATATCCAGAAAAATAGACGATTTGGTATTCATGCATTAAAATTTTTTTCTTAATAAAGAAAAATTTAGAGGAAAAGGCACTCTTAGAAACTAAGGTATCACTTTTTAGCAGAAATAACTTTAATAAAGAGATATCTTATTTTCTTTCTAATGAAATCACTCCATAAGTTGAACAAAGACCAAAATATGTAAATTAGAAAGCTCCATTCTTAAATTTAGTATTCAATAATAGAAGTCTCAGAAAGATTAGAAAAATTAGAAAAAAATAAGTTTTTACCAAATTGTGTGATGACATTTTCTAGAACCAAAGTACATGAACTTTCAAACTGATTTCACCCAGCAAATACAATTAAAAATTTTCCAAATCATAGTAGTTTAGCATGAAATTTAGAATGTATGAAATGGGTAAAAAATATGATCTGAAAGTTTACAAAGAGCAAAAATAGGTGACATACAAGGGATCTGGAACAAGAATAGCATTGGACTTAATAATGACAGTGGATTAAGAAGGAGAATGAGCAAATACTTTTAAAATTCTAATGACAAATTATTTTCTGTTGTATTAATTAGGCTTTGCCAGAGAAACAAAACAACATGTGTGTGTATGTGTGTCTGTGTGTATGTACATACATATATACATATGTACATATATAAATATACACCCACATATTCCTCACAATACACACAATAGTAAAACTTGAACAATACGGAAACAATAAAAGAACAACTGACTTTCATTAGACATTCTAGAAAACAATTGCACTTTTTATGCTATATGTGTCTATTTCACTTAAAAATAGAATTTCACATATGATTTTGATGTTATGCTATAAATCAATCTACAACTTTAAATCTGAGAGATTATTTAGAAGTCACCAAATTTTAGAGTTTCCATAAACTAGGTTTAGGGATGTGGGTCAAATGTTTGAACTCACAGAAAATTTATGACAATTGTGACTATTAAGAGTATTTGTCCATTTTCTTAGCGAGAGGGTACATGGCTTCATCACTGAATATCAGCGAATGTCTCTGTGATCCCAAAAGAGTAAATTAAATTATCTTATTTTCCTCCTAAAATCACTGGGATTCGGAGTAGCTTGAACACATAGAAAATCTTACAAATTACATAGATATTCTTATAAATTACATGGATATCTTATAATTATATATATATTATAAATTACATCTTATAATTACATAGATATTTTTATAAGACTGGAACAAGAGCTCAGGTTTCCTAACTCTAATACATTTTGGTAAAGCATTCTTCAACTTAGGTTTCCTAATGCTAATTCCTTTTGAGTGTGACGTATTCTTTTGGCCAGTAGTATAGCATTGCACATTTCTCTTATTTATTTAAATGATTCCATTACAAACATAAAGATAGGATTTTATAGCCCAATGGTCTTGATATCACAGTCCTTTTTTCCTCATTTGTCTTCTCTTGTTCTTTTTGTTATTTCCAAGTTGATTAGGTTCAGGTGAGCCTCACTGACTGGCAATATTTTGTAGATATTGTTACACTCTGTGGCAAGGAGGAGATAACACCATTCATGAATTCATGGGAAGAGAATAAACAGAAGCTCCATATTTGGATCTCTCCCAGACTCTGCCTTGACTGTTTCTTCCCTTGGCTGATTTTCTGTATCTTTTCTCTGTAATAAATGTAGCCATAAGTTCTGCGGATATTTCCAGTGAATTATCAAACAAGATGGTTTTTCAATCTCCTGACTTTGCAATTGATATCACAAAAGCAGAAGTCTTGTGTCCCTCAGACTTTCTAGGTTGACTAGCACTGAATACTATGACAGCATATTACTCTACCCTGGGTCTCTATCCTTTTAAAATTCATTTTTTACTGGATAAAAAGAAATGAAAGATATAATATTTTTGTCTTACAAAAGTAAAAAGCAAGTATTTCCAAATCATACTGTACCTTATATTATCAATTTCCTTCCATATTACTTTTTTTTGGTAAGTCTAGATAAGACATTGTAGGAATTTCATGATTAATAATCAGTTTTTTCATTTTCCTTTCTTTTTAAAATGTTGATTGATTGGCTAGAAAGCTGCTTTCGGTATGACACAAACAAATGTTTTGAAACAAAGGTGAAAAAAACAAGTGGGAAATGGACTGGGTGCGGTGGCTCACACCAGCAAACCCAGCACTTTTGGAGGCCTAAGCAGGTGGATTACCTGAGGTCAGGAGTTCAAGACCAGTCTGGCCAATATGGTGAAATCCCATCTGTACTAAAAATACAAAAAATTAGCAAGGCATGGTGGCAGATTTCTGTAATCCCAGCTACTCTGGAGGCTGAGACAGGAGAGTTGCTTGAATCCAGGAGGCGGAGGTTGCAGTGAGCTGAGATTGCGCTATTGCACTCTAGCCTGGGCAACATGAGTAGAACTCCGTCTCAAAAAATAATAATAATAATAATAATGGGTGCAGCACACCAACATGGCACATGTATACATATGTAACAAACCTGCACATTGTGCACATGTACCCTAGAACTTAAAGTATGATAATAAAAAAAAGTGGGAAATGAGTACTGTCATTTATCAACTTATACTTAATTGTTGTTTTTTACAATCACTGGTTTGCTCATATGTACAGAAGTAGGAGTGACAAATAATGAAAAAAAATGCTGTAGTAGATAAATTATAATGATGCTACATTGCTAATTACTGTAGCAATATTTCATTCTAATTTATAAATTTAAAAAATATCTCAAATACTCTGCAGTTGTAAGTAAATAATCGGCACCTCCATAAACACTGTGATAAACCTAACAGTTGACCTTTCTAGGCTGGAATTCTTAATGTGACATGGAATAATGTGTGTTCTTAGTCCAGACCAACAGGCTGCAGTAAAGGACTTTACGAATAATAACATTTGAAGTTCTTCTCACAGAATGGAAAGAAAAATATGAGTGTTGACTCTGGCAGCTAACAGCATATGCTTAACCACTGAAGCAGTGAAGAGACAGACAGAATCATAATTGAACATGCTGTATTAATCAAGACTATGATAGACAGAATCATAACTGAACATGCTGTATTAATCAAACCAACTCTGTGTTCTCCACAACTCTTTACATTTGAAGTGCTTTGCCAAGAGGATCATTTCCCACAAACTGAACAAGGTAACTGCGGCCTACATTTCAAGCTGCATAATAGCTTTTTTCACAAACAGAACTTTATACTTCTTTAAATTAAGAAGCTCATTATAGGGGAAGAAAACCATATACTTAATGCCTCAGAAAAGGTTAAATGAAAAGGGCAACCCTTCAAATACTTATTGCAAATCCAAAAGATGTTACCTTTTATTCTACCAAATGACTCACGTAGGTAAGAGCATGTTGTTTGATATCATTGTTAGGATGCTTAATCAATGCCATCGTAGAACTTGAGAAATCCTTACAGTTATATATTGTTAGAAGTTAAAATCCAGCAAAAGACCAAGTTCATCCTAAGTTTTGACAAAACATATCCTGTGAAGATCTATTATACAAACAAAATATGTCCTCAGATGGCTCCTGAATACTAAAAAATGGAAATGGTTGGAGACATTACTGTCAACTGCCTGAAGCAGGCGCCTGATTAACTCCAAGACTGGGTCAGATAAGGTGATGCTTCCTTTGAGGAGCAGTGTTACTATGCACCCTACTGCTGCCATTTAAACAGTCTTCACACAGTGACTTTCCCTGGAGGATGCTACTGAGGGTTCAAAAGGGGATGCAGGCTTCGTGTGGTCCCCTCCAACAGATTCAGTTGTTTGTGTAAAATAGTTGCCTTGCCAAAGACCTCCCGCCCAAAGATTCTGATTTCCATTTATAAACATGGTTTTCAATTTTTTCAAGGATCAAATATTTATAATATTAGAAAAATATTTTTAATCAAAGCACTCCATAGTTTAAATAAAAATAAGTATTTAAAATTATATCTCTGTACCATGTAACATGGCCATTAATTAGCAATAATAAATGTCTTGTTTCACTACTGTAATATATTCCAAAAAGTAGAATATTAAAGTATGAATAGAAAAAAAAAACATTACGGAGGCACAAAAATGTCGAATAACAAAATTCATTCAAAACAGAATCTCCGTGTGTAATTAATTCATGGTTACATCACAAATAGAAATCAGATAATTATTTGAGTACTCATTCAAAGTATAGAAAGGTATAGAAAAAGGAACTCATGTCTCACAGTCTACAGTTGTTCATTCTCAAATAACGTAAATGTGGATGAAAAGCTTTGAATTCCTTATCTTTAGATTACATGCTGCAATCTTCTAAATATCTAATCACAAGTAAATGAATCATCTATGAAATAGAAGTTTTATGTAAGTGTTATGTAATTTTTGGATGTATATTATAATAATTCACTCTCTTATCTTCAGACTTTACAGAAGACATAACTCACAAGTAAAATAAACAAATATAATTAAGTAGCTAATTTAGCTAACAGAACTGAATATATCAGATTCTACAAAAATATAGCTTTACCAAGACTAGAGCTGATTCTACCAAATTAATCCTCTATTTGGTTAGTAACTCTCATTTTTAACCCTCTTCATTCAAACACAATTTAACTAGGTGAACATTTACTTGCTATATTGGGACACCAAAAAGTAGATCCTGTTATCTTTGTTCTCAAAGGATTTCCAATGCAGTTAGAAAAACCACCATATACTGAAGAATTATGGATTCATTCATTTTATAGTAATTTGTATTATGCAAATCTGAGTCACAATATTTAATAATGTTTTATTATACCGTTGACCTAAGGATAGATAATCATTGCAGTCCTAGAAACTAGCAGACTTCCTCAGAAGTGTAATGTACTATGTTAGGAAACAGTATTGCCCATTCATTCATTTATTCAACAATGATTTTTTGAGCATTAGTTTTGAACCAGATTATCTTCCAAGAACAGTAAAAAAAAAAATTAATAAAATGCAAAGTTTTATTCTTAAGGAAACTACATGTCAGACTTTGTTAGCAGTTTTCTCCTTTGTCTTATACACACATCTTCAACTTCTACCTCCAGCACCTCTTCTCTAGGCAAACAGCCCAATCTAGACCCATCATGGTATATGCCACATTCTTCTGGCAATAATTTGATAAGCATTATGTGTATGGTCTATATTAGTCCATGTTCACGCTGTTATAAATAAATACCAAGACTGAGTCATTTATAAAAGAAAGAGGTTTAACTGGCTCATAGTTCCTCATGGCTGGGGAGGATTCAAAAAGCTTACAATCATAGTGGAAGGCAAAGAGAAAGCAAGGACCTTCTTCACATAGTGGCAGGAGAGAGAAGTGCAAGAATGAAGTGTTACACTTTAAAACCATCAGCTCTGCTGAGTTACTCAGTATCCTGAGGGCAGCATGGGGGAAACCACCTTCACGATCCAATCATATCCCGCCTGGTCCCTCCCTCGACAGGTGGGGATTACAATATGTGATGAGATTTGGGTGGGGATGCAGAGCCAAACCATATCATAGTCTAAATAAAGATATTAAGAGTCCTTCTCTGAAATTGGTATTTCTACTTAATATAAAGTTCTGTGAATTTAATTTAAAATATCCCAACTAATACAACAGATGTGCTATAAATTATCCTTAAATAGGTACATTGATAGTGCTAAGAAAATTTAAAGATAAATCTCTGTGGTTTGTACAGAAATGAATAGAGGAAACATAAGTAATAGACAAACCTTAATAAATGAAGGATTTAATTTGTTAAATTAGTCATTTCATGAAGAAAAAATAATAGAACTTTATTAATCAATGGACTATTCCATTGGACTTATTTTTCATGTTAAGTAGGAAAAGAGGAACTGATTACAATTTTCAGGAAGCAAAAGAAACAGTAAATTTTGAAGAACTTTATGTGAGTTTCCACAGTCCGTGCTACTCCCTGTAACTCCTGGGACAAGCTGCAAAGTACTCTCTGCTATTTCACACACAACTTTCCTTTTCATCTTTGAAATTAACACTGTAAGCTCCATAAGGACATAAACCTGTCTGAGATAAACTTCCTAAAATAAATCTTGTTAATAGCTTTCATTAGGAAGTAAATTAGTACAAATAATAATAAGTTCTCAGAGGATATCAAAAGATTTTCAAAAATGCCAAATTCAGCCATAGACTAAATAGGAAGTAAATGGTAGGTCTTGGTTAACTTACAAAACAGTTAAATCATCTTAAGCCAAGGTAATTGAAATTTGTGTTAAACTCTTTATATACATTATCTTAAGTAATTTTAAAATGTCTTGTGTAATTTTAAATGTATTTTAATAACATCATCTTATGTATGTTGTAGGTATTATCCCCAGTAAAAATTACTGGACATCATGTATCTTCAGCGTGTTCATCAGGAGTCACACACAGTATCAAATGTTGAATGTAGATTCCAAAGGTCTACCATAATCCAAAAAAATAAGAAGTAAATTTAGTATCTACCTCAAGCATCCCAAATTGCCAGAATTAGTGAATAGATAATATATCCTCTCCTTTCCTCGTTACTCTATATATGCGTATCCTGAAACTGCTCCTGAGTCAAGGGAAGACTTCTCCTAATAAAAGATGGCTATTTTCCAAAAAGCACGCAAGTCACCATGTTCCCTTATTACACTCACTATTTA